CCAGCATGACTAAGCTGCTTCTGGCGAACCAGAGCAGCGCACGGAAACGCTGTTTACCTTCCTGCCGGAGCGGTACCTATTAATCTACTTGCACTTTGACATGCTTTCGAACTGCTAGGTTGGCAGGAGCAGGGACAGAGCAACGGGAGCTCACCCCGTCGCGGGGATTCGAACCACCGACCTTCTGATCAGCAAGTCCTAGGCTCTGTGGTTTAACCCACAGCGCCACCCACGTCCCACTCACGTCTCTTTAGTCTGCTGTTAATATTAATTATCTTAAAAGGTTTTTAAATTTACTCCATTTTAACTGTTTTTATTGATCATTTCTATATTTCTTGTAAACTGCTTAAAGCTTTTACAGTGGTACCTCTAGATGCGAACAGGATCCGTTCCGGAGCAAACGTAACCAGCGATGGGACGTCTGCGCACACGCGCATCACTTTTTGCCGCTTCTGTGCATGACATCATTTTGAGCGCATGCGCAAGCGGCAAAACCCAGAAGTAACACACTCCGTTACTTCTGGGTCGCCGCAGGGCGCAACTTGAACGCACTCATCCCAAAGCACATTCAATCCGAGGTATTGGATTGTACAATGTACAATGAAGTGCTATATAAATTTTGTTAGATGGGGGGAAATGGAATTAAAGGGACAGAAGGAAATGGTTTCTTTTCTGTGATGCTATAAAATCCTGAAGTATCATTATGTTGGACGCGGGTGGCGCTGTGGGTAAAAGCCTCAGCGCCTAGGGCTTGCCGATCGAAAGGTCGGCGGTTCGAATCCCCGCGGCGGGGTGCGCTCCCGTTGCTCGGTCCCAGCGCCTGCCAACCTAGCAGTTCGAAAGCACTCCCGGGTGCAAGTAGATAAATAGGGACCGCTTACTAGCGGGAAGGTAAACGGCGTTTCCGTGTGCAGCTCTGGCTTGCCAGAGCAGCGATGTCACGCTGGCCACGTGACCCGGAAGTGTCTCCGGACAGCGCTGGCCCCCGGCCTCTTGAGTGAGATGGGCGCACAACCCTAGAGTCTGTCAAGACTGGCCCGTACGGGCAGGGGTACCTTTACCTTTACCTTTATCATTATGTTGAATGCTACAGGGCAGAGGCACAGGAAGGAATGATGATTTTGGCTACTTCTCCGTGTGACTTGGCCTCAGACAGCCTGTCTGGGTGTCAACTTTAATCATTGGTTCAAATGAGTTCATGGGGGAGGGATTGGAGATTGCGCTGCCAAGGCTATTTATAATTATGTTATTGGACCTGTAATTAGCCGTGTTACCTAACAGTGAAATCAAGGTGAAATGACATAGGCCTAAAGATCAGCTGCTGACATTTTCATTCACCGCTGAACACTTTCTCTGGATCTACGAGCGAAGGAGGAGAGCAGGGAAAGTCCATATACACTTTACATTTCTTTTCACAAAGTCACCAAAGTGCAAAGCTGGACAGGTTTTTGAGAAGATCACCCAACCCATTCTTCTGTCCACTATTCCTGACTGCACTGCTGGAAAGTCTATTCTGTTAAAATTTCCAAATGCTCTTTTATAATAATAATTTTCTCTCCCCAATACAGTAAGTCATTGATGTATACATCTCAGAATTCTTTGCCGGGGGACGGTGTGGTCATAACAGTTGCAACTGGCATAAAACTGATAGCACTTTACAGTGGTACCTTGGATTAAGAACTTAATTCGTTCTGGAGGTCCATTCGTAACTGAAACTGTTCTTAACCTGAGGTACCACTTTAGCTAATGGGGCCTCCTGCTGCGCCGCCACGCAATTTCTGTTCTCATCCTGAAGCAAAGTTCTTAACCCGAGGTACTATTTCTGGGTTAGCGGAGTCTATAACCTGAAGTGTCTGTAACCTGAGGTACCACTGTATAGTTACCGTTGAACCTTACACACCCTCCAATATTTCTCAGATGAAAATAGGGATGTCTTATTTAATATTTATAATTATAATTATATCCCTCCCATCTGAAGGCAGCCTTGTTTAGGGAAGCTTTTAATGTTTAACAGACTATTGTATTTTAATATTTTGTTGGAAGCCACCCAGATGGGCAGGGTATAAATCATTAATAATGATGATGATGATGATAGCTGGGTTGTGCCAGCCACACTGGGTGGCTTCCAGCACATATAAAAACATAATAAAACATTAAACATAAAAAACCTTCCCTATACAGGGCTGCAAGTGTCTTCTAAACCATCTCCTTGGTTCAGGGGTTACATAACTCCATACCCTCCATCATTTCTTTGATGGAAATAGGGACGTCCTACCACACCCTCCAACATTTATCTGATGAAAATAGGGATGTCCTTAGGAAAAGTGGGACATTCTGCGATCAAATCAGAAACTGGGACAGCTTCTGTATATCTGGGACTGTTCCTGGAAAATAGGGACACTTAGAGGGTCTGACTTTAGCAGTGTAATCCCAACCGTTTCTACTCAGAAACAATTCCTATTGAATTCAGTGGAGCTTATTCCCAGGTAAATTGGGTTAGGATTGTATCTTTACTCTTGGTCCAGCCTGTTGCTAGTGGAAGAAAATGTAAGGATATTAACATTACAGCAGCTCGACGTCTCTAAGTATCCGAGCAGGGACAATGCCTTTTGGAGAAGAGAAAGGCGGTATCTTGTAGTATCATTATCTATATTGGTTTATTTGCAAACTAGCATGTTCGCAGCCCAGAGGCAATTTGTGTGTTGCCTAGCATTGGCTCTCATACATCCATGTTACCCTGAGGCTGGATAAACAAAAGGCTCATTGGCAAACTTGCTTGTTCTGATGTCACAGAAGAGCTTGGTACCTTAGGGGCAAGCAGCTGAGTGCTGGACAAGGAAGGCTTAAACTTCTAAAGGCAATGCACAACATCTGTCAAACTGATAGTTATGTACTGAGTTGAATAGGATCCAAAAGGCAGCAGTCTGATTGGTCCTAGAACAATAGGATTCAGAATGCAGCAGTCTGATTGGTCCTAGAACAATAGGGTCCAGAATGCAGCAGTCTGATTGGTCCTTGAACAATAGGATTCAGAATGCAGCAGTCTGATTGGTCCTAGAACAAGAGGATCCAGAATGCAGCAGTCTGATTAGTCCACAGGAGCCACCCAATCCAGCTCCAGGTGGAAGTTAATCCGCAACCTGATTGGCCTACAGGAGAATCCCGGAATTAGCCAATCACGTGGGGCCCATTGTGTAAATAATGTATATAAGGCAGACATTCTGGGGAAACTCCAGATTCCTCTTCACCACTCTGAGCTGAATAAAGAGCATGAAGTCCACACTCAACTCCGAGTATATTTCACTGATTAATTCATTAAATCTGAATGGAGCAGTTTTATAGGAACATAGAAAGTTGCCTTACTACCTCAGGCTATTTATTGCCCCACCTAGCTCAGCACTGCCTGCACAGCAGCTGGCAGCAGCTCTTCGTGACATTCTCAGAAATGTGCTTTTCCTCCAGCCGGAGTTGCCGGTGACTGAACTTATGATCTTCTGCATGCAACTCATGTGATCTGTCACTGAGCTTTAGCCCTTCCCATCCTGCATAATGAACAACCATGGGCCACAGACAGGCAGATTACAATCCCAGTTGTCATGCATAGGTAGAGAGATAATGAGAAGGGCGCAGAGATAAGCTCAGCCACTCCTGTAGGGAAAGGAGAACCAGAGCAGGTATCCAGGAAGTACACCAGGCTGCTCCTCCTTTCCTTTCCAGCATCCCATGCTGTCATTGACTGGCTTGGATGCACCAGCAAACTTTCCCCCTCCACCTAATTCACCTTCCACCTGCTCACCACCCGGCCTGATTAACCCTTTATGGAGAATTCAAAAGCTTGCACCCTACTTATTAACATTTCAGTTGCCTTGATGCGGCTTTTATGCTTTTTTTTTTTTGAAATAATTTTTATTTCAAAAGGGGGGGGGCGGGGCGGGGCGGATGGAACTCCTCGCAGCTTAGCATCCCCTCCAACCAGTGCAGCATCTTACTGTAGTGATTTCCCCCTCTGCATCCCTTTCATAAGTCTATTTTTATAAATCATTTGCCCACCCATAGTTCAAATTTTTACTACAAGTTTTCTGTCAATCCTACCAATGTATGTAACTCTTGACAATAGCTTTTCAACTAAATTATAAACTCTCCCCATTCTTTATTAAAGAGGTCCCCTTCCTGGTTTCTAATTCTGCCTGTAAGCTTTGCCATCTCGACGTCATTCATCAGTTTTGTCTGCCACTCTTCTTTGGTGGGAGTTGTAGACCCTTAGGATCAGCAAGTCCAACCGCCTGCAAAACACAGTCGCAGCCAAAGCAGCATGGCTCCATCAGTGCCGGATTTCTGTATAAGCTAAGCCAGGGGTCTGCAACCCGTGGCTCCGGAGCCGCATGTGGCTCTTTTACACCTTTGCTGCGGCTCCGGGGCGGATACTAGCGAGGGGAGGAGGCGCATTGTGCGCCCTGACACTCCCCACTGTGGCGGGCGCTGTACTGGCTGTGACGTCGCTTGGGGGCGGTGCGTGCGTTAGTCACGCACCGTCCTGACGTCACCTTCCCGCCCGCTGTCAGATCGCGGCTCCGGAGATATATTTGTTTTAAATGTTGCAATGGTTTTGCGGCTCCCAGGTTTTTTTTCCTTCGGAAACAGGTCCAAGTGGCTCTTTTTGTCTTAAAGGTTGCAGACCCCTGAGCTAAGCAAAATCCCTTATTTCCGCTGCTGATGCCTTATTTTCGAGGCTGCTGGTCCCATATTTTCAAATCTGTAAGTTGACAGCTATGCCACTGATCCGAAAGCTGCGACCTTTCCCGGGGCCTCCATTCCCTCGCTAAGGCACCATCCCACCACCCTTGCTAGGCCCTCGGCCCTTCGGGGAGCATCAGCAGCAGCAAGAGCGAACTACGGTTCCCATGATGCCTTCGGCTCCCGCCATGCACCGCGCCCGCTCCGCTTCTCCTCCCCCCTCCCCCGCCAGTGTGAGGTATGGCAACGCGTTGACGACGCGCTGACGTAAGCGGAGGGGGGGTGAGGGTTCACGGAGGCCGGAGCCGGCGTCTGTCTCTGGTAGCTGGCAGAACTGAGGCGGCGGGGAACCGGACGCGCTTCCACCTCAGGCTGCCCCCTTCATGGCGGCCCGCCGGCTCCGGGAAGTCTGGCGACTGGGAGCGCGGGGAGGGCTGAGGCCGCGAGCGCCCCCGACCGGCTGGTGAGCGGGGCAAAGGAAAGGGAGAGGAGGAGGAGGGAGGAGGAGCCTGGGCTGGGCGCAGGTTCAGGGTTGCCACATCCCCCCTCGACAGGCGCTCCTCTGCCTCACACAGCAGGCAAACTCGAAAGGGGAAGCTGCACCCCCCCTCAAAAAATAACCCCTCTAGCGCCTCATTCTCCATGCTGGGGAGAAAGACTCGCCTCTCGGCTTTCCTGCCTTCCCGGGGCAGCTTGGAAGAGGAGCCAGGAGGAAGGGGTGAAGTTGGCAACCCCAAACACTCCCGTCAGAGTTCAAAGGCAACGCGTCGAAAATGGACAGGCCCCTTTTCAACAAGAGCCCAGCGGGGGGGGGGAGGAGCCTTTGGCAGGTGCTGGTGCATATGGGGGGGGGGAATAATAAGGGGGGCATATATGCCCCCCTGCTTTGGCTTTCAATTCAGTGGGGTAGCACTGAGGAGTTTGGGAGAGAATAAGCTGCACAGCCCTTGGAAGGTCATCAGAGGGGCGAATGCCAAAAGGAGAGGGGTTGGAAGTGGAAATGGAGGTTAAATAGATACCTATGCTCGCATATTAAGGGAGGAGGTTATATTGTGCTTGCAGGGTTTCAAGCCCTGAGACCTCCAGGTATAGGGCGGTATATCAATTCAACGAATAATAATAAAGTTATTGTGAGTTAGGAGGAAGGCCAAGGATAGTGAGAGGGTGGAGGACAAAGAGGTCAGGGAGGAGGTTGTGTCAGTAGCAAAGACATGCTCAGAGGGAGATGAAGAAGGATAACAGGTCTGTGCGAACTGATCCGCCAAATGGTTAGAGGGGTTTTGGTTAATGGCTGCATCCCTGTAGGGAGCATGGGAAAAGTTGCGTACACACTGCGGTCCATTGAGGGGGTTTATTTCAGGGATGGAGCAGCAGGTGATTATGGGGGAGGGCTGTTAGTAGGAACCCCTCCAGCTCATGACTCTAATGCTGTTTGCCAATAAATAACACAGCCTGGTGCTAGTTTGCCTCCCTCTGTTTCTGGTAGCATCCCCCCTCCCCCAAGAAATGTCTTGTTCCTTTAGCAGAATACACCTGAGGGTCACCAGAATTAAACATTGCCACCAGTGGCAATTATGCTTTTGGTCACTTTTGGGTAAAGTACCCCCCTACTTATCTTTTTGTACTCACAATTAAGGTGAGCAAATGAGTTTCTCTGTCCTCCCCCCCCCCCGCCCTTTTCAATCCATGTTTGTTTACAGAGTTGTGACTCAGTGCACAGGGACTGGTGGTTTCCTGGATCCGTTTCTCTGGAATAAGACACTCATCTTGTGTCCATGTATTGGTGGAGAACAGTGTGTTGCATATTGGTAGCTGGTGGCATTTACAACTGTGTAATCTCCAAAGAGGTACATGAAAAGGGCAGCTTAATGGAAACTTTCTCTTTAGCTTATGTAAGCATCACTTATTGGAGATGAGAACAAAAGAGAGAACTTGACTTGGGAATAGTTGACTCTCTACAGACCCATTCCTTCTGGTAAGCTATCCATGGTCTTTAGGCTGAGGTTTGCTACTTGTTGGCTTGCTAAAGCTTGCCAGGACTGTGTTGGCTTGAGCAGCAGTGAAACAAATAAGATCCTAGAACACAGAGTTGGCAGGATAATGCCACATCTTTGCCCTTCAAGCTGGAGAAGGTTGGTAGTGCCTGTTGCTTTAGCAAACAGGTGGAGATCCAGAGTTAAGAGCTGGTGCCACTGGAGTCTTTGGAATCCCTTGGACCAGATTTCAACATCCTTCAACATTTGAACATCCTTCAATAGGACTGCTTTTCTTGGCTTCTGCATTAGCCCTATTTTTGTTCAGAAGCATACAATGTCTGGATTGCAGGTGGATGTACACAATCGTGCTTTTCTATTGCTGTGTTAGCAACCACTGACTGGAGAGTGCCAGAATAATGTCTTGACATAATGTGCAGTGTTTGACTTCACAGAACACAGCAAGAAAGATAGGAAGATGCCTTGCCATAGCCTGTCTGGCTCAGTATCACCTACAATCTCTGCCTGGATATTGAACATAGGACCTTCTGCCTGCAAGGCAGATGGCTTTACCACTGAGCTATAGCCCTTTCCCCAGCATGGGGATGTTGGAGCCTGTGGAACTGGCTGCTATCATGTTGCTAATGGTAACGCCTTTTGGTGCAAGATTTTGTTTGTACTTGATGTGAATGAGAATATAGAGGTGAGGCATGGCTTGAGACCAGAGAACATACAAGTTTGTGCACCCGCAAGTGGTGGTGGTATGTGAGTTGTCGTTCCTCAGTTTCTTTATGGGGAGTAAGTTGATGGGCTTTGAAGGGCTTTGTGAGGGTTAACCTACTGTGTGCTCTGTCATCCCAGATTAAAAGCACCTGGTTTCACCAGTGGCATGTTGGATTTCCTGTGCTTTAACTTTCTTACGTAACAGTCCTATTCATAAGCACTTGCTTGGCAGCACTCCAAAATAAATGTCCCAGCTAACCTGCTGGGCAGCTATTACTGTAACTGGTCCTTGTTTTTTTTCTAGAGTGTCCCTGAGTATGCTGCACTGTTTGATGTCAAATGGGCGATCCTTTTGGGCTGATTTGCCTATGAAGCATAGACCCTTGATCTTGTAATATGTTGCTGGATCCATTTCCTGCTTCTCAGACCTTTTCCCACCTTCACAACATGTGCTGCAAGTTCTCTGAAAGCACTTGCCCTTGTGAAGAGCAATTGCTTGTTCAGCAAAGGACTAGCACACCAATTACCTATTTACTTTCTTCTCATTTACAGAAAAGACTTTAAGGAAACTAAACTCCTCCTGACTTGTGCCAAAAAGACACAGAGCATGATGAAATTGGGTCAAGCATAGAGCTGGGCGGTATATTGATATATCGTCCAAAACCTGGTTTGAAGTCCATATCGTAATAACGGTTTCATAGTTTTTGACCTGGCAATGTATTGCGAATCATGATGTGTGTGCCCAGCCCTAGTCATGACACTCATCCCCTTAGCCTGTAGTGGGGTTCTCCAGAAACCATACAGGTCCATTTCTTCAGTCCCCTGAGGTCATGATTGCGAGCAGCCTGTAGCTTTGTCCGTTCATGCAAAGTGTACTCGTTTCTTTCCCCTCTGGTATGGAAATTCCTCCTTCCCTGAATAGACTTTCCGCTTGGCACTCTGAGCATTTATTGGTTGACAAGGCAGTTCAGCTGATCCAGTGGGAGGGCTTAGAGTCAATATTGCATAAGATAAGCCAGCCAGCCAGTACCCATGTGAGAGATGGAAGCTGGCCAGGGCACAAGGTAGCGCAGAGGGCTTGTGTAACCCTGTCTGATGTTTCCTTTCATGTAATTTTGAGCAAGACTTGTGGGAAGTGAAGGAGGAAATCATCCCCGCTAACTGTGGGCGTGTCTGGCAGTCCCAGTCAGGGTTCAAGCATTACACTGTCTCTGGAACAAAGCATTTGTGACCCAAAAGCAAGATGAGAGATCGGACAGGGCCAGCCTAAGACACATACTGCCTTGTCTATGCATCTAAGTGGAGCCTCATTCCTTGCTAACTAGTGTAAGGCACAATCCAATGGGAGGTGTTGCTGCAGAAGCCCCATTGAAGTGAACAGGAGCTGTGTAAGGTTACAGAAGTGCTCCTGGCAGCTCCTGTTCATGTCTGTGAGCTTTGCCACATGAGTCTGATCTGTCCGTTTTCAACTCTGCTGCCCTTAATAGTATCCAAAATACTTCACCTGAGGCAGCAACCTCACCTTTCCCCATTGTAGGGCCATCTGTGGGATCAACTGGTGAGAACCCCCCCCCCAATCTCTTCACACTGTAGATCAATGATTTTCAACCAGGGTGTCTTGAATAATGGTCAGGGATGCCGCGGGCAACACTGGCCTCTGTCCCTCTTCCCTTCCCTCGCATCTCTGCCTCCCAAAGGCTTGCACAGCTGTTTGTTGCAGCAGCCCTGGCTACAAGCTCCCCAGGTGAAAAGGTGCCTCTGGGGCTGGCCAGGGGGTGCTTCCCAGGTCCCTGTGGGGCAGTGTGAGGAGGCATCTCTCTTTGGGGCAGGGAGGACAGGTCAGAGACCGGGGGTGGTAGCTAAGGCTGCCCAGAGGACTCCCAAGGAGCGGGGAGAGGAGAGGGGGCTGAAGGAACACTCCACAAGGGAGAGTGTTTGAAAAAGGGGTGAGGGGCTGTTAGCTCTGCAGGCAAGGGGTGACACAACTGGGCTTCTGAGCCCCACAGGGGTTCTGCAGAAAGAATGTAGTTGGTCAAAGGAGCCATGGACCCAAAAAGGTTGAAAATCTCTGCTGTAGATCAAACATAACAGCATCCCAACTACTGTCATACTCCCAGCTGACTAAGTAAAATGCCTGCTTGAAGCCCGCTTGAAAGCAGGAACAGGCAAAAGGAGGTGTTTTTGTCTTTATGACATACACAACTATGTGCTGTCCTTCTGTCCAACTTTGGAGAAGGGTTGGGGAACACAGAAAAGACCCTGTTTATTACTTTGATGCTGGAACGGAAGCAGGCTTCCCTTGGACCTTACCTCAGTTTGTCAGCGTGGGTGATAAACCATATAGTAAGTTATACAGTATTCCTTTATTTCCTTGCATATTTCTCATAATTCAGCATGGTGCAGGTTTGCAAGTTGCTTCAAATACGATGGTGGGTGGTAGCTTAAGCCTGTACATTCTGCTTGGCAGATTGGATGTGCACGGTCTTGGCTCTGAAGGCTCAGTCTCACAAATGTAGAGAATGCTCAAGGATATTTGGGGGGGGGGTAGCATTAATATAGGAGCCTCTAGATTAGCAGGGGCCTTTGTCTTTGCAAATTAAATGGTTCTAGAATCAGGCTTGTGTACTCTGCTGATTATTTCTAGATGTGGTATTTTTCAAATTTCATAACAACAACAATAATAACAATAATTTATACCCCACCCATCTGGCTGGGTTTCCCCAACCATTCTGGGTGGCTTCCAACAAAATATTAAAAATGCAATAAAACATCAAACATTAAAAGCTTCCCTAAGTTTTAGGGAATTTAGGGAATTATTCCCTAAGAACACAGCTTCAAAAGGTGGTGCTTGGTCATGCTTCCTTGTAACTTATCTATGAGGAAACTCCGATTAATGCTCCTGTTTTGCTTTCTGCTGGGCATTGAAGAGTGTCCCTTTGGAATTAATCTTCATGAAGGTGTAGTGAATCTCCTGACCGTTGAGTCCAGCTAATCCTGAGGATTTTTCAGTTCCAGGTACATGCCGTCCTGTGGGATTCTGATGATCCGTGCCCCCCAAGCTGTCAGCAGTGCCGATTGGGATCTTAGTGCTCAGCACAGCCGGACGTTTATCAACTTTACAGGGCCTTTCACCAACAAACGGAAGGAATATTCGGAAAGGAGGATCCTTGGGTGAGCGGACTTGCTTCACAGGAGGATGAATGAGCTGTATTTGTGATTAGAACAAAACTGCACCTTGCCTTCTAGTCCAGCATCTGCTTCCCACATTGGCCACCCAGATGCTTCTGGGAAGCCCACAGGGCATTGGGAGGCAATAGCCTCTCCTCTACTTGTTTCCAAGCAACTGGTTATGGTGCCTCGGATCCAGGCAGTAGCGCATATTTATATATATGTAGCCAGCCATCATCACTAGCTGCCATTAATCTCCTAATCTCCTGTGAATTTGTCTAAATGCCTTTTGAAGCTGTCCAAGTTGGGGACCCTCCCTCCATTTTGTGAGCATTGTGAAGTCTTTCCTTTTGTCTGTCCCGATTCTCCCACCATTCATCTTCATTGGATGGTATCGCATTCCAACAGTATGAAAGAGGGAGAAAACTTGCTTCCTCGACACCATTCAGAATTTTATAAACATCTCACACCCCACGCGCTGCTTTTTCTAAAACGAAGAAGCCCCAAATGTTGGACATAAAGATTGTCCAGCAGCGTAGGCAGTGGCATAGGACTGCAAAGGCAAAGGGTCTGTTCCTAGTTTTGTGTGGGAGTCTAAGGAAGCCACTCAAACTGTGGCCATAGCCACACTTGCCTAGAAGTAGCTCTCAGTCAGTCTGCTTAGAATAAAGGTGTCAATTGTGCTGGGTCTAACCCATAACTTCTGTTTGAGGACTTTTCTGCTTTGCTCTGTATTAGATAAATAAACCCCAAGAATGAAGTATTTGTTCTGATAATAAAGTGTAGGGCATAGAGGTGCCTTGGATAAATAAGAACAAATTGTGTATCAAACTCCCACACCTTGTGACTGTATCAAACTCCAATCACCTTGTGATTTCAGCCATCTCCCAACTGCATACCCTCTTCTCAATAAACTCATTGGCCAGTTCAACTAAAGAAATGGCTTACGTGTTCCCTGTTATGTAGATTGTGTGCTGTCACCATCAGGTTGTCATTGTTATAACAGCTCTGAGGAGCTCCTGAATTAGCTCTCTCCTTTCTTGCAGTTACTCCATGCAGGAGATCTATGAAGTTGTGTCCAATGTGGATGAATATAAGGAATTTGTTCCCTGGTGCAAGAAATCAGTTGTGGTCTCTAGGAGGACAGGCCACGTGAAGGCCCAGCTGGAGGTTGGGTTTCCTCCTGTTGTGGAACGTTACACATCCATTGTGACACTGGTGCGGCCCCATCTAGTAAAGGTGAGCTATCATCCTCATCATTTATTATTTATATCCCACCCATCTGGCTGGGTTTCCCCAGCCACTCTGGGTGGCTCCCAATAGAATATTAAAAACACGATAAAACATCAAACATTAAAAACTTCTCTAAACAGGGCTGCCTTCAGATGTCTTCTAAAAGTCAGATAGTTGTTTATTTCCTTGACATCTGATGGGAGGGCATTCCACAGGGCGGGTGCCACTATCAAGAAGGCCCTCTGCCTGGTTCCCTGTAACCTCACTTCTTGCAGTGAGGGAACCGCCAGAAGGCCCTCGGTGTTGGACCTCAGTGTCTGGAATGAATGATGGGGGTGGAGATGCTCCTTCAGGTATACTGGGCCAAGGTCGTTTAGGGCTTTAAAAGTCAGCACCAACACTTTGAATTGTGCTTGGAAACATACTGGGAGCCAATGTAGCTGCACATTTCTGTGCTATCCAGACTGAAATATCTTCCATTATACAGTACATTGTATAATCATGAGCACTGATTCCAACAACTCGCCACGTAGAAATTTCAAATGATTAGAGTGCTTAGGAAAGAGGCCTTATCCTATTGCTGACTGATGGCATGCCTGATACAATCTGATGGGTTGCGGGTGAGCTGCAGCCCCAGAGCTGCAATCGGAACCAGGGATGGAGACTCTTGTTCTAGCTTATCTGGGTGGGCATGGACGTTGCTAGCAAAATCCTTCTCTGATCTCACCTCTGTCCTATATCCCAGGCGGTCTGCACTGATGGGAAGCTCTTCAACCACCTGGAGACCAGCTGGCGTTTCAGCCCTGGCATTCCTGGCTACCCCCGCACGTGTACAGTGGACTTCTCGGTAAGCACACATGGCTATAAAAGTGTTCTCAGGCAGCTCGGCTCCTGTTCCACAAAGGATTCATCGGTCTGTGCTAGCAAGGGGTGGGCTTATTCCTTTGAAACAGGAAAGAAAGGTGCTTGCCTGTGATGAAGCCCAAGCATTAGTCAGCCAAGGAAGCAAATGTTCTTTTCATGAGCAGAAACTGTGTGTACAGAAGGGCCAGAGCTCGAGTGTTGTGTCACTTGGGTTCACTTTTTGTCTTTTAGAGAGCAGGTGAGAGCCAAAACTCCTGAGTGTGACTTTGAGGAAGTTTTTGATCCTAAAGTGTGACCTTCTGTGGAGGTGTGAACACTTGCTCCTCTTCTCCTCTAAATCTTCTTGTGCATTCGACAAGGCAGAGATGGGTCTGTTCCTCAGCACCACCACCATGCCTCTAAATCAGGCATCCCCAAACTCGGCCCTCCAGCTGTTTTGGGACTACAATTCCCATCATCCCTGACCACTGGTCCCGTTAGCTAGGGATGATGGGAGTTGTAGTCCCAAAACAACTGGAGGGCGGAGTTTCGGGATGCCTGCTCTAAACAATCCCGGCTGGTGTGACAAGCTCACTCTCCGTCACTTCATGTGGTCGTCTAATTTTGTGATGCTTAAGGACTAATGAAGCAACATCCTATTTTTGAATGATGATAATGAGGCAGGGCAAAGTGCCTTCCTTAGGGGTCAAATGTGGGATTGCACAAATCTCATACTCTTCCCCCAACCTTGCAATGCACCTTTGGTTCCTTGTTTCTTTTCCGTTGCGTCTCTAAAATGGTGCTATTGTCTTAGAATAGCCGGGATAGATTCTGGAGGACAGCTCCATCTCGGAGAAGCTCCTTAGGTGATCAGAAGATGAGAGAAATGGGGGCAGATGAGGAATTCTACTCCTCTCTGTCATTCCCGCCCCCGCCCCCCATCTGCCTTCCTCCCCTCCCCTCCCCCTGTCTGAGACAGGGTCTACAAGATGGTACTGGCATCTTAGAGAGACTGGCAAGGTTTCTCTTGGGTGATGCACAAGATAGTGCTGTCCTTGAACAACTTTACAAGTCCCACTAGGATGTCAAATTTTTCCTCATCTGTGAGTGGAAAAGGTGGGCTGAGCAGAAGTCCAGATGTGAACTCCCATCTCTTGCCAGCAATAAGATGGCTGCACATGTTGGAGGATATTTTCACCATCCTAGGGATACTGTTTCTTCACAGGTGGCTTAATGTAAACGAGGGATGGGAAGCCTGCGGCTTTTGAGACGCTGGCAGCTCATTTGTCATCCTTGACCATTGGCGGTGCTGGCTGGGTCTGCAGAGCTGCAGGTTTCTTGCACCTTGCTCTCGCCATTATCTTCTGATGTGCCCAGTAACAAAATGATCTCTGCCAATCACGCCTGCTGCACTTGGGGAGTTGCAAACCCTTTGGGAATATCAGCTGCAGGACACTTTACAGAGCAGGGCTTTTCATATCTGTCACAGGAAGATTCCCTCCCACCCTTCCCCATATATTCACAGTACTAAAAGGTAAAGGTACCCCTGACCATTAGGTCCAGGCGCAGACAACTCTGGGGTTGCACGCTCATCTCGCTCTATAGGCTGAGGGAGCTGGCGTTTGTCCGCAGACAGCTTCCGGGTCATGTGGCCAGCATGACTAAGCCGCTTCTGGCGAAGCAGAGCAGCATACGGAAACACTGTTTACCTTCCTGCCGGAAGGTGCTTTTGAACTGCTAGGTGGGCAGGAGCAGGGACCGAACAATGGGAGCTCACCCTGTCGCGGGGATTCGAACTGTCGACCTTCTGATTGGCAAGCCCTAGGCTCTGAGGTTTAGACCACAGCGCCACCTGCGTCCCTTATGCACAGTACTAGAATGCAATACTAGAGCTATGAGACGGCAGACTAATGCTCTTCCTCTCTCCCCAGATTTCCTTCGAGTTCCGCTCCCTGCTGCACTCGCAGCTGGCTACCGTCTTCTTCGACGAGGTGGTCAAACAGATGGTCGCTGCTTTTGAACGCCGGGCGGCAAAGAACTACGGTCCCGAGACCCGCATTCCCCGAGAGCTCATGTTCCACGAGATCCACCAGACGTGAAGGGCTCCCTGCTGCTTTGGTGGCCACGTGGACACTGCGCTGGGGTGTGCACTCATGGCTTCCTCGGCCCCTCTGTTTTTATCTATTTATTTGGTTTCTCCTGGTATCCTGTCTTAATTTATCCACTGGGCCTGGTGTGATGAAGAGAGACTTTTTCCTAAGGAAAGGGCCAGGTGGTCATGTTACCTCCGGAGCAACCTCTTAACTGTCTGTTTTGCCTAGTCATGCTCTTATGCTGGGTCATACATACATACTTCGTTTTGTAGGACTTTCTTTGAAGCCCTTCTCCTCCCCTCCCCCTTAATCCCCCAGTCTGCAGAGCGTTTCCCATCCCATTCTCCACCTATTTTGTATGTGCCAGCATGGCCGGCCTTAGGCTGAGGACAGTGCCGGACCCTGTTTCTCTGGGGAACAGGGGGTGGCGGAAGCTCACAGCATGTGGCCGTGTGCTCTCTTTCTGTGCCTAGTGAAGGGCCCATTGGAAACCGTGCCTCGCAAATCACTTGTTTTAAAAAGAAGGAAAGGAAGAAAGCCCTGACCTGGACTGCCCCTTGACAATAGAGAATAAGCGTGGCGAGGCTGTACTTTTTGTCTGGCAGTCTCCTTAGCTGTTAGTGGTTGGATTCTGCTGGTTGAACGTTGGTTTGGAGTGCAGTAGCGGAAATGCAGGCATGGCGGAGGGGAGCAGGCAAGCAGTGCAGAGTGGCTGGTGTCTGTTACTGAGGGTAGAGGGTGCTCTGCAGTTGCTGCTTTCTTTGAGGCTGTGCAAAGCTAACATCGTACTTGTGCTGAAACATCAGGCTGGGATTCTTCTTCTTCCTTGCCCAAACAGTACCATAAACTTTGTTCATCACTAGGCTATCTAAGGGAGATTTGCATCCAGCCAGCTGCCCTGTGTCTTCCTTTTGGTTGATAGAAGAGTGCAGAGTAGCAAAAGATGTGTGCCAAATAAAGGGCCAAGGGGGAGATATGGCCCTCTTGGAGCCGGAATAGTTTTAGAAATGTTAGAAGACACACTCCAAATGGGTGCACATTTGCGGTGGGGGTGCGAGGAGAGAAGGGAAGCAGAATTACTTGTTGGGAGTGCAACCAGAGTTTTCTGCAAAAGTTCAGATTCCTCTGTCCTCCTGTTTCATTAAAACCCATGTCCAACCCTCTTGAAACGTCACCTAAAACCCAGAGGTGGATGTCTTGGTTGCAGCCTTTTGAAGTGCCATGCCTAAGGCATCTTTGGGATTATTGAGGCAATGGGTTGCACAAGCCTGCCAGCGCTCACCACAGCACCATAGTTGTGTTCTGCTTTGCATTATGGGAATGGAATATAGCATTATCAGGCTGGGGGCTGCTGCTTTGAGGACAGGACTTCCACCTGCGCAGAAGCATGGTCCCTCTTCCACCAAATATTTCCACACAGGGAGAGTGACTATGCCTTGTGCAGCCCACTTGAGATAAAGCGCCACCCGTGGGAAGTGATTAGCATGCCACTGTCTGCAGCTGGCTTGTGGGAAGGTGCTTAGTTGGGGTGTGTATTCTGAGTCTTGGCCCCATTGAAAGCTGCAAGTTGAGACCAACCACACCTGCCCAGCAGCTGTTCCTGAAATTGCCTCCTGTTCCCATGACCACCACTGTGGGTCTCCCAAAACCCCACCCTGCACTTTTCCCCGGTGCAGACATCCATTTGTGTTGCCTATTTTGCTGTAAACCCGGTACCCTGTTTTGAGCTGGAAAAGGAGTTTATCTACGTTTAGACGCACATTTTGCACAAGCGGTGTGGACACAAACACACGACTGCTGGGGTTGAGCCCTGCGATGTGGGCCTGGGGTATTCCAGGCCCTGTTGCTTCCACGTTTCAGGCGCCAGAGTGTTTGTGTGCCTGCTTTTATGAAGATGTCACGTTGCATAACATGGGGTGAGAGTGATCACTATGTTTTTCACAGATTCCTGTGGCTCTCTGCTCAGCGGAAGGAGGAAGATAGGTTAAAACGGCAGGTTGAGGGAAATAAAGTAGGTGGATGAACCTTGGGCCTTGCTTTGTTTGTGCCCATTGAGCAGCCAGATCACCCCACTTGCTCCAATGTGAGGTGTAGATCTGCTATACCTGCCCTTGGAGGGGAGGGGCTTGAAGTTGGCTTTGTAACAGAGGCTTGCCTTACATGTGTTACAAGTCCTTGCTCTCTGAGCTTTCCTCTTCAGAACCAGGATCCCTGGACCACTGATGGGGTCATGGCTAGAAGCCTGCCATGTTTGGCTAGCAGGAGGCATATGGACCATTGGGAACATGACCCCCTCTTTCTTCATAAATTGGGGGGGGGCGCTGCTGTGGCATAGATACCTGAGCAATCTCCTGTCGAGGCTGCTAGTATTGCCCATTGTACAATGGATGGCTTCCTTTTTTCTCTGACCACGGGTTTCATGGCTTCGCTTTTCCTCCAAAGAATGCAAGAATAGTTTGGGCTTCTATCCCAAATTTACTGCATTGCTATCAATGTAATGGCTCTGGAAACAACCACCCACTTCCTGTGCTGAGCTAGAAACCCAGTTTTGGAGGCAGCTCCCGCGAGTCAGTCCAAAGGCTTCTTACTCGCCATCGGTTTTGCATACCAATTGGCTCTGTGCAGTTACGCTGCGATCTCCCAAACTGTATAGATTTGACTGTACAGTTGGTGTCCTTTGCTGAGATGTTCCCTCGGCAACTCTCCCCAAATCTCTCATTTGTAAAGGTGGTCTTTCCTTCCCTGCTCCCAAAATTGCCAGCTTTTACCGACCGAAGGGGGCTTGTTTCCAAAGAACATCCTCCTTCTGCCTTTCTGAGCTGCTGAAACTATTTACTTGCTCTTTATCCCAGTTTCTGCTGTTATCCTGTAAGAACAAACAGGCTTGCTCTATGGAATGCATACACAAGGCAGTGATCTTTTCAGAGTCCTCAGGGAGGAAAGGCTTGCATTTCTAAGACCTGTATTTCCAGAATGCTTCTCTGAGCAAATAGTTCCTTTAGTAGTAATAAAAGGCAATAAGCGCTAGTGAGGAAGCCGCTCCGAGAGGAAGTCATTAACAATAGCACGCTTCTAACCTGCTCTGCTAAGCATGTCCTGTGCTGTATTCATGAAAAACAGTCACTTTAGAACTCCACCTTCCTACTTGGCTGCCCTTGTTACAGCTGAATTTGATGGAGGTACATTTGGGCGGGTTGGCAGAAATGTTTTCTATTTCTATCCACGTGTTTGGGAACCTGTCCTTGCATCCAAGTCTGGCAGTGACCAGCGTGGCACAAGGGCTAGCGCACAAATTTCTCTGTCTACACACGTTCAGGAAGAACCAGCCTGAACTCTCACGATCAGTTGCATAGAAGAGGGACTGTGATTTCAGCTGGGAGAGCCCTGGCTTCAAATCCCGTGCTCTGTTTAAAGGTGATTTGGGGTCAAGTTGGCTGTATATACCTACCATAAAATCTGGATTTGCGGATACAGGGAAGGCTTTTTAAAGCTAACTAAAGTGTATTTCAGAAATACTTCTGTGATATTGGCGCCTGGACGTCTCACGACAGTTGCTGCTGTTTGCAGCCTTCGCCAATAAGATGAGCAATCTTATTCATGCTTACTTGGAAGTAATTACTATTGAACTTGGTGAGACTTACTTCTGTGTAAATATGGTTAGGCCACTGTGCCAGAGGCTGGGGGACGCAAGAGGCTTCGAGTAGCACAAGGAACTTGTAGTTATCATAAGCAAGCTTACTTTCCACTGCAAGGGGGTGGAAGGTGCATTCACAAAGGGAATGAGAGGATCCCATTGTCTCCAGTTGCACAATTTATTCAAATCACAAAATTCTTTTCTGCTGGGAGGAGGGAGAGGGAATGATGACATGGTAGCAGCTTCAGAGCCCAAAATGTATTGCCTCCTTTGCTTCTAATGCAGAGACCAACTGCTGCTCTGCAAAGCTGGTTTCTTCTGGAGAGTGCTGCCTGCATACCTCCCTTGAATTTGGACTCTAACCTTCAGATCAATGCTGCCAGGGCAGAGGCTAGCTTTAAAGTGGGTTCCTTCAGCACAGACTTCTGTCCCAAAAGTTTGCTGCACGTTGCGCTTCAAAGCAATTCCGCCATTGCCAAACAAAACAGCAAAGCGTCTTGGTTCCTGGGCCTCGTGCTCACTGTAGTTCTCTTCTGCAGCTATGAATGGAAACTCTCAAAGAAAGGTGCTCAACGTGTCTAGTGATCATCACTTTAAATTGAAAATGGGCAGCCTTGCATTTAGGCATTTGCCAAGCAGGGATGAAGCCCGGTTCACCAAGACATTATAAGGCACCAAGGAGAAGGAACTAGTGGTTCTGTTACTTTGAATCGTGACCTTGATCCATGATTTAATGAATTGTGTTTGCTGCAGTCTATGTACCACACTCCCTTTAAAATGCAAGAGCTAAGATAATTCATGGGGCGGATTCTGCTGAAGGTTGTAGTGTTCAAGTCCCATGCAGAGGACAGGAATGTTAAGGCCCCGCTAACTTCATTTGCAGTGGAGAACATAATTCTTTATTGACACCAGACATACAAGCAGATAATGTGTCCTGGGTTGATGCTTGTTTAACGTTCCAGGTTTCTTGTCATTACTTCCTCAGCTTTTACATTCTTAACAAGAGCTTTGCCTTCATTGGAGTCATTTTGGCCCTTAAAACTATATCTACTGCAGAAAAATCAGCAATGCAGTTTGTTGCTTGTGTTAGAGAACCACATGCTCTCTCTAAAGGAAGATACTATCTACTTTTCTTTCACTGCCCCCTGCCTGTCCCCATGAACCTGGACTTTTAAGCCTCTCTGGGCACCTCATGTTTAAACCTTGTACCTGCTTCCCTCCAGTCGGCAAAGCGATTGTGTCCTAAACATTGCAGTGCCTTCTGCTCCTATCTGTATCATCATCAGGGCTGCGGCTGCCTCATGCTACTTAGCCTGGTATGTGCTACCTCAGCTTGTAAGAAAGGTGGGGGATTTATTTCCAGAAGAAGGAAAGGGGAATAGAAAATGAGATTATGCACAGTAAGAGGAAATCATCATTGTGTTCTACCCTTTTAACTGTGAATCTTATTTGATAGCTGCAAAATCTGTCCAAGAATGTTCAAAGACTGAACCAATCCCAAGAGCATTTTTATAGACCAATAAAAAAATATGTTTGCAAAAAGGTACTTGTGGGACTTGACTATTTAAGATTTTAGCTACATTGTCGATTTTAACCTTGCATAGTTCTTCAGGTAGAATGCATATACTTTCCACAGCTGGATTTGCTTGATAAGTATGTATTTGGTACTATTGCATCAATATTCTTTGAAGGCATAGGAAATGTTATGCTTCATCGTTAGTGCCTAAGCCAGAGCTTTCCAAACTCTGCTTCGCAACGTGTTAAGTGTGTCGGATGCAATGTGTAGGTGTGTTGCATGAACGCTCCCCATGCTCCTCCCAGGGCTGGAGAGGGGTTATTTAACCCTTGGTTTGCTACTAAAACTGAATGGCTGTGTCGCGAAATGATGCATGTCTAAAAAGTGTCACCAACATGCAAAGCTCTGGCTTAAGCCTTCAATTTAGCACAGAATGCATGGCTGCTGCGTGTATGGAGAGAAGGTTGGGTATAAGCCTAGTTTGGTTTGTATACATAGGGCTGTGCTTTACAACATGGGTGGTGACAAGTGGCAGTCCCTATAGCACAAGGTCAAAACACACACTGAACATGGAAAGGCAGACAATGGTGCAATTGCAAAACTATGGAGTACAACATCCCCACCCCTCTCTGAGTTCTCAACTAGGTCAGGACCCAGAACTGTCAGGCATGGCAAGATGCAACGTGGGTTCTATCTTTGAAAATTCTGGTGACTATGCTGCTGCTGCAGCAGATGGCAAATCACAACAGCTATGTTCCCCTGAATAAGTTTTTTTTTTTCCAAAAGGAAAGCTGACTACTGTATTTTTCCATGTATAACATGATATTTTTTCCTTAGAAATAATAGCCAAAAGCTGTGGGTCGTTTTATACACAGATAGCAGAGGGGGGATGGGTGATTGGTGTCAGCAGGTAGCAGGAGATTGGCAGCGGTGACTGGGTGCGTGATTGGTTGCTGTGGCAAGGCCTGCTGACGACTGGCTGTGGCAACTGGGCGTTGATTTACGGCAGCGGTGAGGCGTGCATGCAATCAGCTGTGGTTGTATCGAGTGGGCAGGTGGGCTTTTGGTGGTGAGCGTGCAGACGATTGCTGGCCGCGACGATGTGTGCGATTTGCAGTGTTGGGCAGTCTGTAGAGCAATTGGTGGCGGTGATGCCACCCCCCCCCCAAATAGCTCCATAACTCTGGGCAATCTCTCCCTAAAAGAAGCTCAGCAACTTTTGGCAATTTCCCCCTCAAATTTTTTTGCTGCAGTCCCAAAAAATAAGGGTTCTCTTATACATGGGGGCGTGTTATACACGGAAATATATGGTACATTACAAGCAGCCAGTGTGCTTTTATAGCAGGTGTAAAGGTAAAGGACCCCTGGACAGTTAAGTCCAGTTGAATTTAACCATGGGGTGTTGCGCTCATCTCCGCTTTCAGGCCAAGGGAGCCGGCGTTTGTCCACAGACAGCTTTCTCGGTTATGTGGCCAGCAGGACTAAACTGCTTCTGGCGCAATGGAATACCGTGACGGAAGCCAGCGCACACAGAAACATCATTTACTTTCCTGCCACAGTGGTACCTATTTATCTCCTTGCACTGGTGTAATTTCGAACTGCTAGCTTGGCAGGAGCTGGCACAGAGCAACAGGAGCTCACCCTGTCGCACGGATTCGAATTGCCGACCTTACGATCAGCAAGCCCAAGAGGCTCAGTAGTTTAGACCTCTGTGCCACCTGCATCCCTACAGCAGTTGTACAAGGCCATCATCCATCAGACCACAAAGCCTCTGACACCTGGGCCATAATTTGGATGTACAGTGAAGTTTCCAGTAGGGCTTAGAGCTAAGCTTCACCTTCAGGCGATACGAGTGCTACAATCCTTCTGGGACCTACCACTTCAAACTGCAGCTGAATGGTCACCTTTGAATACTTCCCTCTATGAAAGCAGGACTAGGTGTTGACACGAGGGCATACTGGCAAGACCCACCTTCTGCTCAAAGGAGGACTGCATCGTGTGACTTTATGAAATGTGCTAATCCTAGGTTAGGACTACAGCACATTTCTTTGCTGAAACAGGGCTGTGTTCTCATACCACAGCCTCTATTTCCTGGCACAACCACGAGGGAACCCAGCTATTTATAGATGCCTTCTGGGAACGTCATTCCAGATGGGCTCAGAACCATCGCCCTTCTCTACAGGCAGCAGCTGTTGGCTTCTTACCAACGTGTGCACAGTGTCCTTCAAGGGCAAGGAAAGGCTTGCCCAAGGTCAGCTGGGGGCACGGCTGGGACCTGATCCTCGATTTTAAACCTCTGCACTCTAAGTGCAGGTCTGCAGCAGGAGAACCTGGAAGCTGCTTTTATTCCTGCGCTCCCAAGTTAAATTATTGGCAGGTGTGGATTTGTGGCCACTCAAAGCTGTTAGGCCCAGTTCGGTGCCGACTACATTTGTGCTTGCAGATTAGCACATGAGCAATATGAGGAGGGGTCATGGCTCAGTGACAGAGCACGTGCTCTGCATGCAAAAGGTCACAGATTCGATTCTCTAGCCTCTCCAGCAAAGCTTAAGAACTTATTTGCCTGAGATGCTGGAGGAGGCGCTGCCACAAAACACACCTTTCTTTGCAGCATCCCCCCCCCATCTACCAGGGCTTCTACTTTGTCTTTTGAAAGCAAGGACTGAATGGTTTCCCAGCTCAGTGTTTTGGTAGAATAAAAAGCTCAACAAAAATAACAGTAATCCTACTGAACACATAGGGGTTTGTGAAGAGGGCGAAGGTCCCTACCCTATACACAGGCATACAAGCAAGGCACCAAAGTCACTTTCTGCTGCTTGAACCGTTAAGTCAAAGGAGAAGTAACTGCTACAGTTTTCCCAGTCTGCCACCTACTTTCCAGTGGAAGGTTTTGGTTACCTAACTAAAAACAGAGCCAGCTGCTATCAAAAAAATGCTAAGGACCAACACTAGGGTTTTTCTCGCTATCACTGCACAATGCTGAGAAATCTAGAAACAAATCAAGCACTCGCATCGTACATTTTTTTGGGGTAAAAGTATGGTTTGCAGGTTGCCACTGTGTGCACGTAAAGGTAAAGACCCTTGACAATTAGGTCCAGTCGTGGCCGACTCTGGGGTTGTGGCAGTCATCTCGCTTTATTGGCCAAGGGAGCCGGCGTACAGCTTCCGGGTCATGTGGCCAGCATGACTAAGCCGCTTCTGGCGAACCAGAGCAGCGCATGGAAACACCGTTTACCTTCCCACCAGAGGGGTACCTATTTATCTACTTGCACTTTGACATGCTTTTGAACTGCTAGATTGGCAGGAGCAGGGACCGAGCAATGGGAGCTCTTCCCGTCACGGGGATTCGAACCACGGCCTTCTGATCGGCAAGTCCTAGGCTCTGTAGTTTAACCCACAGCGCCACCCGCGTCCCTTGTGTGCACATACACATACAATATTCCATGTCCATGCTTGGCACCAAGGAAGTCGTTTTTACCTTGGAGCTATTGCCTCTGCAATTGCCCAGTACAGGAAGAATACATACCTGCTGAGTGGTTTGCCTCGCCACTGCCATACAAAACCGGAATACCGACAATTCAAAATGCCCTGTTCCAGATGATGCTCTGAAGTAGTGATTGTACAACAGAGTTTATTGAACGAGCATATACAAAAGGGACAAAAATGAAGAAAAATAGGAAGAACCTTGGGGTTATTCCTTTGGGTTTGTGACAAGTAGCTGTACGTCCTACCCCTGCTGCAGAGGAAGCAGCAACTTCAAATTAGGATATGAAACAGTGTAAGTAAAAAGTTAAGTGGAGCAGCTCCATCCCACTGACCACCCCAACCAACACACACACACACACACACACACACACACACACACACACAGCTTGTGTTTGCTGTCACAGGAACTTTTAGAGTTGCTAATGTGTACCTCAGGGGTCAGCAAACTTTTTCAGCAGGGGGCCGGTCCACTGTCCCTCAGACCTTGTGGGGGGCCCAGACTATATTTGGGGGGGGGGAATGAATGAATTCCTATGCCCCACAAATAACCCAGAGATGCATTTTAAATAAAAGGACACATTCTACTCATGTAAAAACACGCTGATTCCCGGACTGTCCGTGGGTCAGATTTAAAAGGCGATTGTGCCGGATCCGGCCCCTGGGCCTTAGTCTGCCTACCTGTAAAGAAGCTCTGGTTGTTCTGTTCCTTTAGAATTATGCGTTTCCAGTATGCTAAGCAAACTATGATGGCTGGTAAGAATTGGGTGTGTGGGGGTGCAAACAGTCACTGGAAGCAATAGTTCAAAGGGCTGCAAGCCCCACTGATACATAGGGACAGACTCCAATACTGTAACTTGTTAATAAAAACATTTATTTTGCAGTTTGTACAGAACCACCTGAAGTTTGCAACGGAACGCTGATGCTTACACAGCTGTTGACACTGTGCCTTCAACTTAAGATTGGGGTTTTTCTTTCCTTTTTTTGTTTGTTTGTGGTTTTAGGACAAAAAAGGGTTTCACACAAACACACAGAGAAAAAAACAAACATTGGTAGGAGTGTATGAAGTCCTTTCTAGAGAGGAAAGGAGGCCAGGAGACAGGCTCCATTCTTTTCACCTATCACTGCGCTCTCAAGGTGTGGCCAGCCAATTTAGCGCCACACGGCAATGCTATTAAAAGCTGCCGTTTTGGAAACGTTACCAATACCTTCTTTGCTATTGAGACACCCTCAACCCACCTTTTCAGTACCACAGCACCAACACTCAAGTCAAAATTAAAAATGGGATGGGGAGGTCACTTGCTTCAAACACGCTGCTCTCATCTCCTCTGGCCAAAGAGGAGGGAGGCAAGGAGCTATTTGTTCCTGGCAGATTAAGTTTCTTGAGAGTCTTATCTTTGGGAACAAAGCACCATCTCGCAGAAGATGAGGGGGTTTATTTTTTTTGGGGGGGGGGAGTGGGTTGCCCAGGGGGTTGTGTGCATTAATGCAGGTCAGGACAACCAAGTGCTGTGGTAGCTTTGGGATGGGGGAAGGGAAAGGTCTGTGTTGCCCCTCTTTGGTAGGCAAGGAGGTGAGCTGTACTCACCTTTTTCACCGGAGTGTGACTCAAGTCACAGCCCCGCCTGCTCTGTCTCTTAAGAGCACAATTCTGCTGTTTTTGACAGCGGCGGGAGAAGGGTATACAAAAGGGGATGGCGCTCAGCTGACGGGAAAGAACTGCTTTCCTCTCCAACCCCCTCCTGCCAAAAAGGGAGGGCGTTGCTTAAAATGCAGAACACCCCATCTGTGGAAGGTGGTAAAAAGCAGCATGTGATATGACATGATTGTTAAAGGGGAAGTATTCTCTACTCCTGGCCTGCAACCTGGGGCGATAAGAGGGGATGAAAGAGGAGGAGTCTGAGCTGGAAAGAAGCAACATTCTCTCTAGCCGGGGGCATCAGCTCAGATTGGGAAGAGCTGCCCTGGGCCCTGCACTTAGGAATCTAAACTAACTTGAAGGTGGTATTTTAAGGTAGCAGGTGTGGTAGAGGGGGAGGAGGGGGAGGATCAGTATCTATAAGTTTTATCTGAATTTATCCCATAAATAACCTGAAAAAAATATGCGATGGTCAGTGCCTCTAAGAAAGGATCTTTTCAAGGCCCTTTGAACAAAACACAAAAAAGTCGTATTGTCTCTACCGTTCCCTCGACAGCTAACCCCCTGCCACGTTATCCCTTGCTTTAACCTGACTTTGCGCCCACCAGCACCATCAGCCCATCTGTGCTCATGGATTTGGGTCTCTCCAGAGGGAAGCCAAGCGCCCGGCTCCAGATGAGCTGCGAGAGGACGCCAAGAGCTCGAGACACACCAAACAGCACAGTGTAGTAGTTCATCTCCTTCATGCCGTAGTACTGCAGAAAGAAAGAGGTGGTGGTTAGGAGGACGGCCCCGGGGAGGGAAAAGACCACTTACCAGGCATAGAGAACCCTTAAGTAAGTAAATAACTTTATTGTACTAGCCGTTGGCCATGACGAATATAGGAAACCCTTTAGCCCTCTAGGTGTACCTTGGTTCTCAAACGTAATCCGTTCCAGAAGTCCATTTGACTTCTGAAACATTTGAAAACCAAGGCACAGCTTCCGATGGGTGCAGGTGCCCCGGAAACAATAGCCGACAGCCGCATCGGATGTTCAGCTTCCGAAAAACATTCGAAAACCGGAACACTTCCTTCCGGGTTTTCAGAGTTTGAGAGCCGAAATGTTCGAGTACCAAGGCGTTTGAGAACCAAGGTTCCACTGTATTGGCCATGATGGTTGAGAGTGCTAAAATGGAATCTCCACCTACAGATACAGTATACCTCAAACACTAGGTGTTCAGGAAAACCAGAAGGGCATCACCTTCAAGACCCACCTGTGAGGTTCCTGGGAAGCACTGGGGGACACACACAAACCTGACTGGTCACTGTCATCATCTATACTGTATATTGCTCCGAGGGGCCTCACAGGAAGAGATTAAGAAAACAAACAAACTGAATGCTGATAGATCTGACCCAGCAAAACAAATGTTCTTACACACAAGAAATAATTCCTGGAAGTGACATGAATCCTACAGCCCTTGCAAAACAACTTTTTTTTGTTGTTCCAAGAGGGCAGAAGAGGAAAGTTTGTGTTCAGTCACTTCCTTTAAAAATTTGCTGAAATTAGAAGGGTGGGGGATAGGGCAAAGCACTCTGATTCTTTGTCTCATACCAGCCAAAACATTTCAGGTTTGCCCACCCCAAATCCCAGCCGTTTAGGAAGTCTGCCTCATGCTATTCCTATACTATGGTTGGATATAATAGCATCTGCAAAGCCTCCTAAGCCACCGCTAGAGGGAGGCACACCACCACCCTGCCTGGCTTCCGCAAGTGTAGGAGTTCAAATGGTGATTGGCATACAATTACCAAGGGTTCCACAACCGGCTTATTGGCTATGGCAAAACAAGTGGCCCCAGGCAATTATTGCCCTTCCCCTACAATGAAGAGCTACATGGGAATGTCGGCCACATTCTAGAACACTGTGCAAATCAACAGCTGAGTCAAAGCTTCCTCTGCACCCACAAATTCACTTAGCACCCACAAATTGAGTGCAAAAAAGTTGCTTCAGGTTGCACTGCAGATTTACCAATATCCTCCCCAAAAGATAGAAATTGCTATCACACTGCAGTAAATCCTGCAGAGCTGGTTCAGCGCCCTACTGTTGGGAAATAAACTGGGCTTGCAGACAAGGATGGGAGTAGCTCTGTGTACTGGTGGGGCACAAGCGGAAACATCTAATGTAGTGCCTGGAAATAGAGGCTTTGCCCCAGGGAATGGACTCAAGCTTGCTTCTGCACTACCTAGAGCGGCAAAGTGGCATAAGCATATAAGATGCAGACTGATCCCTCTGACATCAGAGCGAGTGTGGTGCACAAGTCAACTTGGGGCCTGTACCACTCCCAAAAAAGACCAGATTCAGCCCTGCCAGGGCAGAACTGAACACAGGTGCACCTACAGTGTCCAGCCAACTTGTGTTTTTAAAGCAGCTGTTGGGAACCTCTGGCTCCATAAAGTTCACCAGGCCTTCTCCATTTCACCCACAACACAGCCACATCCACCACAACAGGTGAAAACAAGTCACCTGATGTCATTTTGATGAGGTGAGGCAGCTGACCCTCAGATTGCAAGGTGGCCTAAGGTGCAGCAGACAGGCTCTGAGGCTTCAGAGCTTCTAAGATACTGGGTTTTGTGCTCCACATGAACAGAAAACACCAGGCAGAGGTGAGGGAAAAGTAGTCTGTGACTGAGAGCTCTCATTTCCCATCACAAAATACCTTTTATCAGGACTCTCCTTTTACTTCTCTGTTGCAGTGCTTTTGAGAGTGACACATCCACCTCTGTCCTAATCAGCTTGGCATTTTGTGATTTAGGTACATCATCTAAGTCTCAACTATGTTTTTCAAACCCTGCTTTTATCCTTCCCTTATATTATGGGCTGGATGCAACTAAATAATTGCACTAGCAGGAGCCAGTGCAACAAATTCTGAAAACCACAACAGCTTCAAAACTATTTTTTTTAAAAACCCTCATCCTTTAAAGATACTTATCACAAGATTCCCTGCACCTATTGGTCTGCATATGGCGGGTTCCATCCATTTCTGTCCAAAAGTGTAAGTTTTAGGCAGTGCTAAATCTTCCCCCATGCAAGGTGAGATGATCCTCTGTCTTAGACCCAAAGCAAAGTGTGATACTAATCCGGGCTGAGAGCGCCCTCTATTTGAGCCCGCAAGGCAAGTTCCAAGGGAAATATATTCCCAGTGCTCAGTCCTAAGAAATGTGCTTGAAGGGCCCAGATGCTAGCATGCCCCTTTAGCTGAGAAAGTCCAGGGCTTCTGTCTCCGCCCTGCCAAAGGTAGTTAGCTCACCTGCAGGAGGACCCCACTATGTGCGTCCACATTGGGCCAGGGATTCTTGGCCTTGCCCTGTTCCAGCAGCACATTAGGGACAATCTTGTAGAGCTGCGCCACCAGCTTGAAGAGGGGATCTTTGGGAAGGTGCTTGAGCGCAAATTCTCTCTGGCAGGTGTAGCGAGGGTCCGTCTTCCTCAGCACTGCGTGGCCATAGCCAGGAACCACCTGCAACATGAGACGTTGACAGAACCTTGTGGGTGGTACCCAATATGATGTGCAAAGGGGTTAATAGGCAGGTACTCAGCCCCCTTCATAGTTGCCAACATCCACACCTTGATCAATGGGGGTTTCACACTGTGCTACCACTACCCTTGATTTCTCACCTGCCCGCACCATCCTGCCTGTGGGACTCTTTAGGCAGTTCCCACCAGCTCGCAATCATTTTTTACACTGACCTGTTTTAACAAGCCCTAGAGCAGGCTAAGTTTTTAATCAATTTTCCATCAAGTTTTTAATCAGGTTTCCAACATAAAATAGAGTAAGAGCCAAACTAATCTAGAGAGATAAGAAAAAAGCAAGAATAAGGAAAGGAAGAAAATAAAGAAGAGAAGAAGAGAAAGTGAATACCAGGTCCTCCATCACTGTATCTTAACTCTTATTGCACATACAGAAGAGGAAACCCTCCCAGCTCTCATCTGGGAGCTTCCTCCTCTTCCCCCAGCCTCACAGCAGTTTAAAGCTTGTGGAATGAGATCATGACTGGAAATTGTGTGTGTGTAAAATATATATTTGCACACAGACAGCAAGAGAAAATCTAGGCGGCCATATCCATTTTCTGTGCAGCTTCATCCTGGCAACTGTCTCCTGGCTGGTTTCTAGGAGGAGTGCCCTATTGGCCCATAGCATGGACTGACTTGAAGTCCTTATTTGTCTTCTCCCATTGTTGATGACTCCCAGCACCTGACTTCCTGTTTTTGCTCCCCATTTCTATGCCAAGTGAGACTACAAAGGCACTGGGAATCCACTAGCTAGTACATCAATGCCTTTCTTCTGCAGCTAATTCACGGGCTTCACTTCCCAGCGGCTGCTGAAGAAGAACTGGGGGATAATTACGCATCCTTAAAATACATTTAGGCCACTCTTTGTGGTCATGTAATCAACGTGGTGGAGGGGGAATATATTCCTTTCTAACACAGAACAGGACATGAGTTGCTATTCTAAGAGTCCCCACATTGCATTAATAAAATAGGACAGGGGAAAGGGGCTGTGGGAAGTGCAGGAAAATGAAGAATGAATATTTTAGGCAGAGTTCCTCTTCCTGAGAAGCTCAGCTTAAAAAGCAAAACAAAAACCGAAATATGGCTGCGCATATATGCTTTTGTGGAGTTTACAAGTTGAAATCCCATAAGCCGGTGTGGTCTCTCTGTGCCCCCACCACCCCATTTTATAACAGACCTCACTGCAACTTAAATCTCTACAGGTTCCTCCCAACTGCACCCCCTCCCTCCGATGCCCCATTAAGGCTTTGATGCCGCCAACACTCACCCTGCCAGAGTTCAAAGTATTCCAGATGAAATCCCTCAGTTTCGTGTCGGACACATCCTCACCCAGCTCCTTCTGCAAGTTCGTCAACCATACCAGCACTTCCTGCAAGAAGCCCGTGAGATTTGCTGATAATGTGCAAGAACAGGGAGGGCTCCCTAAGCGCTCTCCACCAAATTCAAGATTTGCTAGCACTACTCGGCAATGCAGCCCCCTACCTGATTTGCAAGACCGTGGAGTGGGCCAGCCAGACCATTCATGGCTGCAGCAAAAGCCAGGTAAGGGTCGGAGAGGGCACTGCCCACTAGGTGACTGGTATGGGCACTGACATTACCACCCTCGTGGTCACTGCAGAAAACAAAGGGGGAGAGGGGAAATCAGCAGGGAACAAGGAAGCTTAGAGCGCACAGCAAGCAGAAGTTTTGTATGCATTTGGCCAATGGTTAATAAATTAAGATTCTCACCAACATTTCTTCCTGAACGGAAAAGATGACACACATAATATTCCAGAAGTACAATAGCAGTTACAATGAATTCATTTTATGGTAACATGCAACACCCCATGTAATACGGATTACAGTGGTACCTCTGGATACGAACAGGATCTGATCTGGAACCCCGTTTGCATCCTGAATTGAACGCAACCCGCATCTGTGGGATGCGATTCGCCACTTCTGCGCATGTGCGTGACATCATTTTGACCGTCTGCGCATGCATGAGCAGCGCAACCCGGAAGTAACGCGTTCCATTACTTCCGGGTCGCCACGGAGCGCAACCCGAAAACGCTCAACCTGAAGCAGCTTCAACCCACGGTATGACTGTACTTGAAAATATTAATGCTAAACAGCATTTAGTGTTTTCCTACAGTGGTCCTGAACGCCACATAGACACACTTCTTAATAATCCTGGAACACTATTTGTTTGTAGGTGTACGTCTAAAAACGTGAAACATAAAAATGACAGACAGACAGACAGACACACACACACACACACACACACACATGTTTGGAAATGCAACAGGACATACAAGCTCATCATAGGCTCCGTATGTGAGAGGAAGTCGCTGCCAGGGAACACTCAGGTTTACTGTCACACGTACAGAACGGCCTGTAACCAGCCACTCTAAAACAGGCCCATATTCCCATAGAACAGATTGGGCAGGGTTGGAGGAGACCAAGACCCTGAGGCAAAGGAGCCTCAGATCCTCCAGTGAGCTCATGGCCATGTGAGATACGAATCTATGGACTCTGGGCTCATAGCTCTTTGCTCTTCAATCACTATGCTAAGCCAGCTCTGTTTGATGCTTTTAAATTATTGTTATTATTAGCAATACTGCTTCCAAAACCTCTCACAGAAATTAACAGGCTTTTGATATTAAAAATGTATTCACTGTCTTTGGTCAACATATGCAAGCATGAAAGATGTTCACGAAAGCGGCTTTCTCTGCACACCCAGATAGCTCTGTCAATAGCGCATGAGACTCTTAATGTCAGGGTTGTGTGTTCGAGCCCCACATTGGGCAAAAAGATTCCTGCATTGCAGGGGGTTGGACTAGATGAGCCAATGGGGTCCCTTCCAACTCTACAATTCTACAGCTCCAGCACACCACCGGGGCGAAAGTAAAATGTAGCTCCTAACTGAGGCTGAAAAAGTTAGGGTTCCCTGCCACTAGAGGGAGCCGCTTAAGAGAACATTCAGGGGTCAGCAAACTTTTTCAGCAGGGGGCCGGTCCACTGTCCCTCAGACCTTGTCGGGGGGCCGGACTATATTTGGGAAAAGAAAAATGAACCAATTCCTATGCCCCACAAATAACCCAGAGATGCATTTTAAATAAAGACACACATTCTACTCATATGAAAAACACCAGGCAGGCCCCATAAATAACCCAGAGATGCATTTTAAATAAAAGGACACATTCTACTCATGTAAAAACATGCTGATTCCCGGAACGTCCGCGGGTCGGATTTTGAAGGCGATTGGGCCAGATCCGGCCCCCGGGCCTTAGTTTGCCTACCCATGGAACATATGAAGTCTTATTATCCCAACTAGAAACAGGATTCAGGCAAAGGCCTCTCAGTTGAGCTGATGGATTGGGACCAACTGCTGGGTCACAGTTTGATCTAACAGCAGCAGGAGTAGCAGCATACAAATATATGGTAAAAGATTTAGAAATGGGACACCAAATTCACGTTTGGGTTAAAGGTGGGTTCCAGGTTGAAAAATATTGAACGGCTACTGCTTTAACAGAATATTCCATGGATTGAAGTTGGGACGTTATACATGGAAACTCTAACCCCTGAACTATGCACCCAGCTCCCTGCACATCTCAACTGTCGCAAAAGGCTACAGATTATATCAGATGCTTAAGTTCTATGCCTGTTGGCAATAAAACCACTGTCAACTAGAGAAAAAAGGTGAGCGCCGACAAACTGAAGCTCAAGACTGGGGCACTGTTAGTGGGTGGTTAGATGGATGGGAAGTTACATTCCCTTTGAAGGAGCTTGGAGATACTCCTGGATCCTTTGCTGTCGCTTGAGGCTCCAGTGGCCTCAGAGACATGGGCAATCTTCCATCAGCTTCAGCTGGCGGCCCAGCTACGCCCCTACCTAGACAGAGACAGCCTAACTACTGCTGTCTATGCTCTGGTAACCTCTAGGTTAGATTATTGCAATGTGTTGTACATAGGGCTGCCCCTGAAGGCAGTTCAGAAACTTCAGCTGGTGTAGAAGTCGGCAGCCAGATTGCTCACCGGGGCAAGGTAGTTTGAGATTACTGTATTTTTCACTCTATAAGACTAACTTTTCTCCTCCTAAAAAATAAGGGGAAATGTGTGTGCGTCTTACGGAGTGAATGCAGGCTCCATGGCTTCAGCGAAAGCAACGTGAAGCCTCCAGAGCACAGCGTGCAGCTATCCCATAAGCCAGGACAGCCAGCGGGATCGCTGCACTGCGATCCCGCTGGCTGTCCTGGCTTCTGGGATTCAGAATATATTTTTTCTTGTTTTCCTCTTCCAAAAACTAGGTGCGTCTTATGGTCTGGTGCGTCTTATAGAGCGAAAAATACAGTATATTGCACCGAGCCTGGCCCGACTGCACTGGTTGCTAATCAGTTTCCGGGCCAATTCAAAATGCTGACTTTGACCTATAAAGCCTTAAAGGACCCCAGGGACCGCCTCTCCTCATATGAATGGACCCTGTGATGGTCATCTGAGGCCCTTCTTCATGTGCCTCCGGAGGGTGGCAACACAAGAGTGGGCCTTTTCTGCAGTGGCTCCTCGTTTGTGGAATGCTCTCCCCAGGAAGGCCTGCCTAGCACCTTCATTATGCTCAAACACAGAAAGCATATGGGGGAAATTGCACCAATGCTTAGTGCGCTGGCAGTAATGGATGCGTGGGGGAAGGACACAAGTGCTAAATGCACAAAAGCTCAGGCCTCAGTTCTTTCCGTCGCTCCATCAGCTCACAGCTCTTTCAAGCCTCTCTTGTACACAAGACAGGTAAGACTTACCTGTGAATGGTGAGGTAGAGGCGCATGAGTTCAATGAACTCGGGGTCATTATAGCCCAGCATGTTGGTGAAGTTGTGCGACCAGTCTAAGGCGGGATCGATGGCGCCGATGCTGCTGCCTTCACGGTACAGATTGCGGTAAATCTTTGCAGCTATACATGGCAGCTTGGCAATCAAGTCCATGGAGTCCTCATAGATAAACTGCAAGGTATGGAAGGGGAGGGGGAGGTAGAAGTCAGGAACTATTCGTAGGGGGTCTTCCCCCTCCAATCCTGCCAGAGCAGGAACATATGATTTGTTCGCAGGCTACAGCTACAACAGTTAACACGAAGGCTAGAGCAGCTTGTGTACAGCCTGCAACAAGAGTCTTTGTATTCTGCCTTCATGCATGCATCTCATGAGATGAACTCTTAGAGCACAAAAGCAGCTGCGGCTGTAAAATGAAATATACTCATCTGAAAGGTGCCACAAGACTCTGCTACTGTTTGTCCTGAATGTATAAACAGACCTAGGAATGCTGATAAGCACTGCTGCCTATTCTTCCAAGAGTCACATGGGCAGGACTTCCTTCATGGGCTTATAGGCAGGGGACTGGCATCTGAATCACACTCCTGCCACACATTTCTACTCTTTTATAATAACAACTATTACTTCTTATTAGGGACGTGGGTGGTGCTGTGGGTTAAACCACAGAGCCTAGGACTTGCCGATCAGAAGGTCAGTGGTTCGAATCCCCGCAACGGGGGGAGCTCCCGTTGCTCGGTCCCTGCTCCTGCCAACCTAGCAGTGTGAAAGCACGTCAAAGTGCAAGTAGATAAATAGGTACCACTCCAGCGGGAAGGTAAACAGGGTTTCCGAGCGCTGCTCTGGCTCGCCAGAAGGGGCTTAGTCATGCTGGCCACATGACCCGGAAGCTGTACGCCGGCTCCCTCGGCCAATAAAGCAAGATGAGCGCTGCAACACCAGAGTCGGTCACGACTGGACCTAATGGTCAGGGGTCCCTTTACCTTTTTATTATTTCTTATGTGTCACTTTCCACAATAAGTCTCAAAGCAATCTGCTGGCAACTGCAATGTACAAAGCAATTTGTTGGCAATTGCCAGGAGAACTCAATAAACAAATTTAAAAGTGGTATTAATACCAGAACACCCTAGAAACAAATCCCTCCATCCCCCAATATAAAGATGAGTTTCCCCCCAAAATCAATCAGATAAAATATATAATCAACTGCTGGAGGAATTAACCCTCAAATGCCTGGGATCAAAATGATACGAATGGCACCCCATGAGTATTCCACGGAAAAAGGACCTGTTGTCTTGTCTAACTGCAGTGCATTGGCTGGGCAGGGGACTAGCAGGTAAAGGTTAATGCACAGCAGAACTACTAACTGCCTCCCCGCATCCCAATACTTTACCCTTTACTCCAGACAGCAATGCCTCAGGGCAGATAGAGGCCCGGCAGAATTGGAACAGGCCAGAGACCAAAGTCTCCTTCGCTTCAGTGGCCCGAGGGTGTGCACACACCATTTTAGGTCAGACCAGAGGCACATGTCACCTTGTTCAAGGTCTCATGTTAAAAAGGCAGCGACTGGGATTTCGCAAGGTGAGGACCAAGGTCTGTCTCTCTGTCTCTGTCACACACCTGACATCTGTCCTTTACCATCCACTTGAGGATCAGCACGAAACAAAAGCTGAACTGGCCTGGTGCATTTCCAAGTCAAAATATGGCAGCATTCAGCAGGGCTTGGTCAGGCTTGACCACATTAGGCCAGTGTTCCCCAACCTTGGGCCTCCAGCTTGGTTTTTTGGGACTACAATTCCCATCATCCTTGACCACCTGGTCATTAAGCTTAAGCGAGGGATGATGGGGGAGTTGTAGTTCGCAAAACAGCTGGAGGGCCCAAGGCTTGGGGAACACTGCATTAGGCCCAGTGTTTCCCAACCGGTGTTCCGCTGCACACGATCTAGTGTGCCGCGGGACGTTGCCTGGTGTGCCTGGGAGGGAGGCGGGCGAGTCGGGCGGCGACGAGGCGGGGGCGGCCGGCGGCGAGGATCCGCGTCGAGCCGGGGGGCGGCTCCGCGGTGGTGGTGCCGAGGTTTCTCTCTCCATTCTCCCCCTCACACACACACACAGGAAATAACACAGGATCAGCTGACAGGACCCGGCCAATGGGGGCGGCGGCGGGGCAGCGTGCGCAAAAGGGAGGAGCGCGAGACGGCGGCGGCGCAGGGGGCGGGAGGGGCGGTGCATTGCGCATGCTCAAACCCGCCCTCCGAGGCGCAGAGGGGAGCTGGGCAAGCGCCCTTCTTCAACACCGCGCTTCGTTTAAGAGGCAGCGGCCCGGCCGAACAGAAACTCTGTGCCTCTCGCCTAGGGATGAAAGGCGGGCACCGGCTTAAGCCAGTAGTAGCCTAATAATGCATTAACTTCCGTGGGACTTCAAGTAAACACAGTAGCCAGCGCCTCCCTCCCCAAAAGGAGGGGGAATTACAGCAGCGCAGGCCGACTCCTGCGTCTCCCGATATTTAAGGCTGCCATCCCTCGTGCACACTTACGCGGGAGCAAAACCCCGTGAACAAACTAGGGGCTTACTCCAGAGTAAATACGGGTAGGATCTGGCTGCAGTTGTACAAGAAGAAGCAATTGATAACGTTTTCGCGCCTTCGGGATTGCCTTCACGCCTTCCTCCTCCCGGGTCCTTGAGAGCGCGGGAAGCGGCAGCGCGAGACCGGCGTTGAGCCTGGTAGGTATTGCGCTTGCCAAGGCAGTCATTTGGGAAATGAAAACTTGCAAAGCAAGCAACCAGTTCAATCTGAAGTACGTGTATGCTTAATATCCTGTATCTGAAACCTGTTCTGCCCCCTCCCCCACACTTGGTGCCATTTTCATCTACACATGCAGCAGAGTAAGTTGACCCAGAATAGTACCAATTCAGATGGCAGATGGGAGAATGACAGTGCTGAATGCTTTCCCATGTAGAACAGTCCCTGCAAATAAAAACCTAGCATATTTGGAAGAGGGATGCTAGCCTAACCATTACCTTCTATGCTGTTACTATTTTTTTATTTTTTTTTACATAAGTAAAAAGTGACCTTTCCCCATCTGGCATGGTGGTGTGCCTCGAGATTTTTTTTCATGAAACAAGTGTGCCTTTGCCCAAAAAAGGTTGGGAAACACTGCATTAGGCGTCTCTTCTTTCCGGAGCAACTTCCACCTCTAGGTGCAGAAGCAGGAAGGACCATGCCCATAGCCCCAAACTCCACAATTTTATCAGCACCTGGCATTAGCAAATCAATTCTAGGACAAAGGGTGTTCAGCAATCCTGGCAGCTGCTTTCCAATCAGTAAGCCCAACTCCCCAATATGAGGACCCAAGACAAACCAATGCAGCGATGGGGAAGTTGCAGCCTGCCAGATGTTGATGGACTACAAGTCCCATCACCCCTGATCACTGGCCATTCAGCAAGAACCATCCTGACATTCAAGACCTTATTCTTGCAACACTGAGTGCACGATTTTAAGTTTTCAGCTCACTCGAAGAAGGGAGAGGCTCAGACAACACAAATTTCTTTACACAGCCATAACCCTGACTACATTAAGTGTCTATGTTTTGTGCATATAAACAACAAAGCCCATTTTTATGTAGGCGATTATAATAAACCACCTGCATTTCTGTTACGTAGCTTCAGGACTTCACCTCCAGATGCCATCGATCGGATGCTACAGAAGAAAATACTTACAGCTTGCCCACCCACCTCCCCGCAAACGGCTCGCACCTCTTCTGCACACGCGAAACGTTGCCCGTCCCCGTGCTTACTTCCCAGTACTTGGTCCGGCTGATTCCCTCTGAATAGGCACGGGCAAAAGTGCTCTCGCTGTTGAGGGCGGTGACAGCGGCACTCAGTTGTGACATGGGGTGAAGGTTGGTGGGGAAGTTGTCCAGCATGGTCACCACATGCGAAGGCAGGGCGGCTCTTTTGGCCCACTCCCGGGACAGCCAGCTCACCTGAACGGAGAAAACACAAAGCTCTGCCTCAGTAAAAATGAAGGAATCGGTGCTGAGCTGCGTGCAGCCGCCCTCTGCCCTTTGCTATCTCCTTCTGCCATGTAGACACCTCAGTGCTTTCCCTGCCTGCTCACAGACACTCATAAAAAAACCCCAGGCTGCATAATGGCATTCAAGCAAGGGCTGAAGGTATCAGCTGCAGCCTCCCATTCAGAGACCCTACTTCAGCCACTCCTGTCTCGTTACCTGTTCTTGCGAGGGGATCTCTCCTGTCACCAGCAACCAGAACAGCCCTTCGGGCAGGGGCTCTGCACCTCCGGGGGCTTTGGGCAGCAGCTTCTGGCATTCGGGGATGCTGTAGCCACGGAAACGGATGCCCTGCAGATGTGGCAAAGGTAGATTAAGAGGTATTCATACATCTCCATGGACAGGCTGCACAGCCAGACAGGTATTGTGACTACTACAACCTCAGGCCTCACTTACCTCATCTGGGTCCAGGACTGAGGTCTCGTATATTAGCCCTTTCATGCCTCTCATGCCCCCGTAGATCTAGGGACAAAAGATGCAAGCGGTAAAAAGCTAGGACAGACAAAAGGAAATACTTCTTTGCTAAGTGCATGAGCTATGGAATTTGCTGCTGCAAGGTGTGATAACTTAGGTTCTTCTTTCCCTTAAGCAATTTCACACTTCATATAGGAGGTATCAAGGTTATTTCGTTCTAAATACTAACCTTCTGTCCCCACTGGTGCTTTGCACGCTTTCTCCCTTTGGTGGTGGTAATGGCACCAGTGAAAAATTGAGTTGGGGGCCCACCAGAGAAGGCTTATGGGCTAGCAGTTCACCACCCCTGGTTTAAGTTAACCCAAAGTTTCAGCACAGCCCAAAGTTTGCAGCCAGAATAAATTGATACGTTGAACAAAGACTGCATAACAGTCTCAGGTGTACCAGGTGAGGATTCTGGTGCAGAATTGTTTCCAATGCCCTGTTTTGCCAAAATGATAGCTTTATTTCCCCACTCCTTGTCACCTCTGTAAGCTCTCGAGAGACCAGGAAGCATAGTGGCAAATCTCCTATAACCTTGGCTCTGGCTTAAATACTTCTTCCCCTTTTGTCAATGGCCTCAAAAACCAGACCGAAGAACAGAGTCCTTTCCAACAACCGTCAAGGCTCAGCTTTCCAGCTGGCACCCAGAAAACCTTGCTACTGTGCACCAAAGCTGGAGGAGGCACCACTTCGCAAACAATTAATTAAATGAACTTCAGATTCAGAAACAAAGCAGCAGATACTAATCAGCACTGCTTAGAGACTAGTATAATCAGGAAGCTGATTTGGCATCTAAACACTAGAGAAAGCCTTGGTACAGCAAACAATGAACTAGTAACGTGACCTCATTGCTTTAACAGCAGTTGGGCTCTCTTTGGCATTTTCTCTTAACGAAATGTTACCTTTATGTCAGCTACCTTGCAAGAGGCTAGGAATGAAGCCCTCCAGACTTGCTCACAAGGGCTGCATCATCTAGGACAGAGCTTTCCAAACTGTGTGTTGCAACAAGTTAGTGTGTTGGCTGCAGTGTGTAGGTGTGTCGCACAATAGGTGTCCTTTATCTCTTACAAGACATTTGTTTAACCTCCAGTTTGCTAGTAAAACTAACTGTCATGAAATGATGCACGTCTAAAAAGTCGGTCACCAACATGCAAAGTTTGAAAAGCTCTGATCTAGGAGATACCACAGCTTTGAGGCAGAGTTGCCAACCCTTGTGCCCAGTGATTTTCTTCTAGAATAGGTGCCGCTACTCACCATGAAGTTGTTACAGTAAGTGCCACCCTTTTCTTGCAGTGAGTATGTATATTCACAATTTGGACCACTGCACTAGAAGGCTCCATGCTCACTATGCCTCACTTCAAACTCAGAAGGCTAACACAGGGGCTCAACAACAAATAATCAATTGCTTCCATAATAAAAACATGGCTACTTGAGAAATGAAGTAGACCAGTGGTGTCCAAACCTTTTTTCAAAGAGGGCCAGATTTGATGAAGTGAAGGGCCGTGAGGGCCGACCAAAGGGGCAACCAGAGTTGTTGAGCTTTAGTTGTTGAGGGTTTTTTAGGATTTTACCCTGGGAAATAAACTGCCACAGGGGCCAGATTCAACTGACCAGCGGGCCGAATTAGGCCCCTGAGATAGCCATGCCTGAAGTAAAAGATCCATCGCATCCTGGTCACTGTCTCTTCGAGCTCCTGCCGTTGGGACGGAGATACAGGACGATGAAGACAAGAACGAGCCGTCTTAAGAACAGCTTCTTCTCCAGAGCGATCTCGGCCCTGAATGGGAAGCCTGGACTTTGAAAGTCATCTAATCTTCCTTGCTGTACTATACTGTATTGTTTTAATTAGTGTTTTTATGGAGCAGTCAAGTAATTTCGTTGTCCCCGAGAGGGGGTAATGACAATAAAGATATTATTATTATTATTATTATTATTATTATTATTATTATTATTAAGACCATTTTTTTTATTTAAACCACGTACTATCTACTCAAACTGACAGCAGTTCTTCAAGGTCCCAGGCAGAGGTCATTTCTAGTTCTGTTTCTTGACAGCCTTTAGCTTGAGATGCCAAGAGCTTATTCTGGAGCTGTCACCAGAACATGCATCTTGTCTTTGACCCATATCCCTTTATTCACCGACTGTTCTTCCTCCTCTCCTACTCCTCCTTTAAAAAGTGCTCTAGTGTCACTAATATCCTCAAACCCTGCTAATGCTTTGCCATGCCCTGAGTCTCATGGGTGGAATTCAATGCAGTGCTAAGTGAGGTACGCGTGCTCACAATGGAGCCCACTCATGCAACTTGACTCTCCCCCCTCTCCTCCCTGTGCACCCCCTAAAGCTGTACTGAGGGGTTCCCCTAACCATCCAGAGCAGATTTAGAGGGCACAGGGAGAAGATGGGGTTGAAATCCTGTTGCACAAGCAGACCTCTGCTCTGTGCACACAGCAACCTAGTTGAATCCTACCCCATGTTATTGGCTTGACTAAAGAAGTCACAAGACATCAGCTGTGAAACTTTCCAGGCACGCTTCACCACCTCTCTCCAGGTTAGGACTGGGCAATATATTGATATATCATCCAATACTGGTTTGAAGTCTGTATCGTGATAATTCATAATTTTTGACCTGGCAATATATCATGAATCATGGTGTTTGTGCATGCACTATACAAAAATCATGATGCGGGGGAAACCATGAAGCCAGCCAATGCCTCTACATAGCTCCATCCTTATTCCAGACATCGTGATATATCAGTATATCACAATGTTTAGCTGGTGATATTGAAAACCACATATTGCCCAGCCCCTACTCCAGACATTTTACCAGGGGACAAAATGCCTAAATGTAGCACAGCACAGGGGCTTCTTTGCAACTCACTCCTTTAGACTGGTAGCAGCCTGCAGATAGAGATGGAATTTCCTGCAGGATACAATGACTCGGATATTCTACTACAGTGATGACACCGGAAGAACTTACCATATCCACAGTGATCTGACCAATGACTGTGCTGCCATATTGTTGCCTGAAGCTTTTAAGTCTTGATTGCTCCTTAGGTATCATGTTTGCAAGAACATCTTTCAGGTTCTGGAAACAAAAAAGTGCAGCCAGATCTTACACACAAAGTTAAGAAAATGCCAGTAACCTAGTACTGCAAGAGACATGGGGTAGAATAAAGAGTGGGTGAGAAATAAGAAATCCAGCACGGATTGCATTCTCTCAAGTACAAATGACAAAGTGAGTCACTAGACAGGCAGTATGCTTTATGGAGATTTTCCTGGGGCAAACACTAGAACAGGGGTCGGCAACCTAAGGCCCATGGGCCACAAGGGCCCATAGGGGGTCGTTTAACCGGCCCATGGACCCCTGCCGCCCGCTCAGTTGGCTCCCATGCACCACACTAAACAGGCGTGGAGCAGAGCGGGGACCGCCTTCCGTGATGCTGGCCGGCTTCCCATTGGCTGCAGGAAGCTCCTGCAGCCAATGGGAAGAGACGCCCGCCTCCTCAGCGCCGGAAGGAGTGCTGGAAATAGGGTTTGCGCATGCGTGCACACTCCGGCCCACCGCGATGTCTGCGGGACTGTGAACCACCCCAAGCCACAAAAACTTTGCTGACCCCTGCACTAGAACATAGGAAAAGTCCTGCTGGATCAGGTCAAAGGTCCAACTAGATCAGAATCCTGTTCTCACAATGGCCAGTGAGATAAGGTCAAGGTAAAGGGACCCCTGACCATTAGGTCCAGTCGTGACCGACTCTGGGGTTGCGGCGCTCATCTCACTTTACTGGCAAAGGGAGCCGGCATACAGCTTCCGGGTCATGTGGCCAGCATGACTAAGCCGCTTCTGGCGAACCAGAGCAGCGCAGGAAACGCCGTTTACCTTCCCGCTGGAGCAGTACCTATTTATCTACTTGGACTTTGACGTGCTTTCGAACTGCTAGGTTGGCAGGAGCAGGGACCGAGCAACAGGAGCTCACCCCATCGCGGGGATTCGAACCGCCGACCTTCTGATCGGCAAGCCCTAGGCTCTGTGGTTTAACCCACAGTGCCACCCGCGTCCCTGGCCAATGAGATACCAATGGGAAATTTGTAAGCGGGACCTGAGCACAGCAGCACTCTCTTCACCTGAGGTTCCCAGTAGTCAGGGTCCAGAGCACCCAAACTCATCTCCCCCGAATAACCCACAAGCAATGAAAAAGAACTGCTTACCGTAGAAGCGCTGGCATGTCTGGCAGCAAAAATGATACATGATGAGTTCTGCAAGGGAGAAAGAGACAGCAACTGAAAACACTTTCTTTACAAGTGGGCAGACCACCAATAACCTCATATGCATCCCAAGCAGATTCCCCACCACCACCCCATGGCCTTTCACTCCCATTTAACACCTGACTTGCAAATACACCTCAGTCCCTTGATTATAAAGAGACTCTCTTGACAACATAGGCACCAACTCTAAGGGGCCCAGGTCCCTTCGGGTCCCCAGATAAAATATTTGAGAACAATCAGGGGATGGAGGAGGCTGAGAGTGGAGTGGCTTCAGTGGCTGGTAGCTCCGCCTGCTGTTGCTGCCATGGATGGGAAGGATGAGGGGAAGCAGCTCCTGGCTGGTGGCGGCAGGAGGAGGAGGATGCTGAGTGCCAGAGAGGAGGAGCCATCAATCACTGAAGCCATGCTGCCACCACGTTCAGCTCCACCCCCTGGCTCCTCCTGGAGTCCCTGCATCACACCTATGTCATCGGTTCCCTTCCAATCTTCTGCTCAACTTGGCACCTCTGCTTGACAACATCACACAAGTGAAGTCTGCCATCATAGGTCAGTATTTTCACTATAGCACAGGGAAGAACATTTTGAAATACTTGGGAGTTTCCTTATAGCTCCTACCACCAATACAGAAGCGCATTCTTTGCAAAGAACCAAACAAATGTTTTTAGATGATTTCTTTTTTGCTTTTGTTAGGTTCAGGAACCAAGTTTTCTATACTTCTGCTGAATGATAATACTAAAACCAAGGCAGGAGTCTTATGGTGAAGCAATTCTGAAATTTCAAACACTAGGCTCTACTTTCTTTGTTGTTTTAATTGTATTCTCCCCGCCCCCTCCTCTCCCACACACATTATGTCCCCATTCCTACAGCTTCCACTTTGTGCAATTTCCACTGTTTTTTGTATCCTGCAAACGTAGGGTGCCTGGCATGAGCTGCCTAAGAGTTTTGGTCAGGACTCCATTCAGCAAGTGCTCATCATGAGTCATGTACACCAGGGAGGGTAAGCAAAAGTGTGCTACAGTTTCACAGTCCGGCAATCTTGCTGGTTTAGCAGCATTGGATACCTGCAAGTTGCTGAGTTTCCAACCTGTTAATATGTGCTAAGATGAGAATTACAGAGCCCAAAGGGTTGAGACAGACAGTGTTAGACACAAGCATTGTCTGCATTTAACAGACCACCACGTGCGTTATAATAATATTGCCCAAAAGGACTTTGGTGAAGTGAAGAATCTAATTTCATCATTCAACAGCAGAACTTCGACTAAAAAAGTTAAATATTAACGCTTGGAAATGTTCACCAACACCCTTACCCCAAAATTGCTCACAGGTCACATGCCATATCCATAGTTGTGTTTTGTGGCACTATGAAGGCACAGAAACAAAATTATGCATACAAAAGAGACGGGTGAAAGTTGGTTGAATCTGTATCTCTTATACAGGCAACCAAATTCAGCTTCCCACCCCTTGCATAATTTTGGTCATTACAGTGGTACCTCGAGTTAAGTACTTAATTCGTTCTGGAGGTCCGTTCTTAACCTGAAACTGTTCTTAACCTGAAGCACCACTTTAGCTAATGGGGCCTCCCGCTGCTGCCGCCGCAGCGCGATTTCTGTTCTCATCCTGAAGCAAAGTTCTTAACCTGAAGCACTATTTCTGGATTAGCGGAGTCTGTAACCTGAAGCGTATGTAACCTGAAGCGTATGTAACCCAAGGTACCACTGTATAGTCCTGTATTCAGATTTTTTCCTAGGGTTTTTTATTTTAAAGTATGCACAGCCCCAATCATAATCTTTCAATTTTTAAGATTAAGCCTCCCTTGTGAACAACCCGTTACAAGCAGTGCTGCAGAAGGTTGCATATACAGTGGTGCCCCGCAAGACGAATGCCTCGCAAGATGAAAGGGTTTTCCGTTTTTTGAGTCGTTCCGCAAGATGAATTTCGCTATGGGCTTGCTTCGCAAGACGAAACGTCTTGCGAGTTCTTGCGAGTTTGTTTCCTTTTTCTTAAAGCTGCTAAGCCGTTAATAGCCGCTAAGCCGTTAATAGCCGCTAAGCCGCTAATAGCCGTGCTTCGCAAGACGAAAAAACCGCAAGACGAAGAGACTCGCGGAACGGATTAATTTCGTCTTGCGAGGCACCACTGTAATGAGCAACATAAACAAGGACACACACACCCCAGCTATAGTCCACGTTTTTGGCCCAACACACTTAAACTTCATAAGCACTTGGATCCCTGGTATGCGTTACCCAAGGGGAGCACCTTCCAATCTCAGCTTCTCAAAAGCTACCAAACACAAACAAGGGTTGATAACTGAAGACAAGGAAACTGCATGCTGGGGGTGGGGGTGGGCAGAGGAAACCAAGAAGCAGTTCCCTGCACAAGGAGTACCACACTGCGCCTTCCCACTGGTTGAGATCATCTGAGAAAGCCTTGCTCTGCAAACCTTTTCCTTTGGAAAGCATGAAGAGCGTGCAGAGTAAGATCTTTTCTCAAAGCAGGTCTGTTTCTGTTGTGGCAACCACCCTGTGGAACTCCCTCCCTTGAGTTGACGCTCTTTACGCCAGCAAGCAATGCCTGCTTTTGAAAACGTTCTCCAAGGTGCCTGAGGAACATGTTTGCTTTTCTGTTGTATTGCTGCTGCGTTGCTTTTGTCATGTTCACAGTTACTCTCTTTTTAAGTGCTTTGGAATATTTTGTATGTCGCCAACTTGAAAAGAAGTCCCAAATATCCATACTTTTGCTTGCCGTTTACGTCTAATCTTAGGAGAAAAGCTTTAGATGAGCAAAGGCACCCCCTCCAGTCACAAGCCATTTCCCCCTTCCCATTCTTGCAGCCCCATCTCCTACAATAACAGAAGATGCCGAGAAACAGGCAATGATATAGGAAGCAATGGCTGCAAGTGGCACTCAGCAGTGGAACAGCAAGAGAAACTAATTGCAAGGTAAGCATATGATATAGCTAACAGCTGACTTAACACATCTCAAGTGACAGAACACACACAGGAGCTGTCTCAGTACAGTTTGCCTTTGCAAGAAGGAATGCTTCTACTTTCTTGCACTCAAATGCACTCAGCTTTCCCTCAGGTGGCCTGTAAAACTTGGGATAAAGTGTTCCAATACCCAGAACACCAACCTACCTGATGGGGCACCTAAGGGAAAGGTGCATGCTACTACGGACAAAGCCTGGGAAGGAAATTTCCACATGTGCATGGACAGGCCCCCTTTAAAGTGCTAGGGCTAGGTTAAAAAAGGTAAAGTACCATTAGGTCCAGTCATGGCCGACTCTGGGGTTGCGGCACTCATCTCGCTTTATTGGCCGAGGGAGCCGGCGTACAGCTTCCGGGTCATGTGGCCAGCATGACTAAGCCGCTTCTGGAGAACCAAAGCAGTACACAGAAACACCGTTTACCTTCCCGCCGGAGTGGTACCTATTTATTTACTTGCACTTTGACGTGCTTTCGAACTGCTAGGTTGGCAGGAGCAGGGACCGAGCAACAGGAGCTCACCCCGTTGCAGGGATTCGAACCGCCGACCTTCTGATCAGCAAGTCCTAGGCTCTGTGGTTTAACTCACAGCGCCACCTGCTAGGTTTACAACATGCCAGAAGCTAGAATTTGGCAAAAACCCTCTTTAGAGGGTGGGGAGTAGAATTAGGTTAATTATGCAAACATCCTTTCGACCTAATGCAGGGATAACTAACATGGTCCCTCCAGATGATGCTGGACTACAACTCCCATCAGCCCCAGACAGCATGACCATTGGTCAGGGATGATGGAAGTTACACTCCCATCTGGAGTGTACCATCTCAATGGATCAGATCTGAAGCTCTAGGTTGAGGACTCTTGTCTTCATTGCAAACCAGTCCCCGTAGCAGAGAGGAAGGAGGGGTGGGGGTTCATGGAATATGGCAGACAGGAAGCAGAAGAAAGAGAGCTGGCAAAGAAGGAGACCTTGGGCTTCCTTTTCCCCCCTTCTCACAGAAGCCTTACACTAAAAAAAACTAATCCCACCATCCTCATATGATTACAGCCGGACAGGAAGCGTTCTACTGTATAGTAAAACAAACAGTCCAGACCACTGACGATTCTTTTGTCCCTCTGTCATGAAGTATTTGGAATAAACAAATTCCAGCAAATTTGAGAGGCAGCCAAAAGCCAAGGGACAGGTCCTATCAGACACGGACAGGACACAAGCCAAAGGGATTTCTGAGAGCGCTTTCTGTATCGGAACTCGGGCAACCTATGCCTCAGCTGAGCACATTCTGCTGAGAGGAAAAGTGTTTTCAGAGAGAAATCAGGAAGACTCAGCATGACTCTAAGACTACATCAAGATGGAGGTTTCTTAAAACCAATTAGCTTATCAATCAGGTCCGGTGGCATCAGTTCAATGCACATAAGCATGGAACCAGAGCCGCAGCAATACTGAAAGTACATTTAATAACTGGCAGCACTGCCAATTTGACAGAAAGCCTTTGGCCTGGAGAATATTGCATTAAGTGCCTTTTGCGTGTGTGTGTATTTCTAGATTTGCTTTTGGGGCAACACAGAACACCAAAAGTCCACACAAACGCATCCTACATCTGTAAAACCGATGGCACCTCCTGACTTTTGAGAGAGGTCAGGACTCTATGGCACTATGGCATAGGACTCTATGGGAAAGGACTATAGCTCAACGGCAGAGCACATGTTCTGCAAGCAGAAGGTCTCAGTTTCAAGCCCTGCTATTTCCAGTTAGGACTGGGAAAAGACTCCTGCCCAAAACCCTGGAGAGCCACTGACAGTCAGCGTGGACAATACTGAACTAGACAAACCAATGGTGTGACTCTATATAACGAAGCTTTCTATGTTCGGAGCCCGCTACTGAGTAGGAAAAATAAAGCAATGTAGTCTAGGAATTTAGCCAAGTTGCAAGCTGCCAGTTTCCAATGAACGGTCCCCTGGGCACTACTGACAAGACTTTCCCAACCCCCAGCTGACTTGCTCTTCACTTGTGAA